TCGAAGAAAGGATGATGGTGCCCTCAAGTAAAGAACTTCAAAGGATGGGGAAGTGGAATTGCACCATGTGCAACGTAAGGTGTCGGAGACACCTAGGAAATTGACTTTGAGAAGTCAAAATTAAAAGTTCCAAAGTGCAAAGGTTATGTCGATGGAATCTGAGACTACTCGAGAATGAGTAGTGGAATTGAGTTAGAGAAGGTGTCTCTAACGAGTTTAGTAGGAACTGAACCAATAAAAGGGAGCAAATCATCCCAGGTGGTCAAATGAGTCTTTAAGTTGGAAAGACTATACTCCTTAAAGGATGGACAAGGTATGGTGAGCTTTTGGTGTCAAACCATAGACAAATATTGGCTAGGTGCCAAGGATGGAAATGATAATACGTGCAGATGTTACTTTATAAAAGGGTTTACTGTTCGATGAGGACATCGAATTTCGTCTATGGGTGGTAGAGTTGTGAGACACAAAATCCTTATGCCCCAAAGTGGAGCCGAAAAGGTGCCACGTGGTAGTGGCCGAAGCAAAACCCAAACGAGCGTAATACGTTTGGACTAAAAACTCCAACTTGAAAAGGTCGAGAGCGGGAGTGGAACTCCCAACAAAGTGCTCGAAGAACAAACACGAAGTGGGCAATGAGTGAGTCTCTAGAAAAGGGACACAAGAGGACCAAAACATGACATATGGAGGAGTCCGAGATGGATCTAAGATGGAGTCCAAGATGGAGTCCGAGATGGACCCGAGATGGACCTGAGATGGAGTCCAAGATGGACCCAAGATGGAGTCCGAGATGGAGTCCGAGATGGATCTGAGATGGAGTCCAAGATGGAGTATGAGATGGACCCGAGATGGACCCGAGATAGAGTCCGCAATGGACCCGAGATAGACCCGAGATGGACCTGAGATGGAGTCCACGATGGACCCGAGATGGAGTCCGAGATGGACCTGAGATGGACCCGAGATGGAGTCCGAGATGGACCCGAGATGGAGTCTGAGATGGACTTAAGATGGACCCGAGATGGACCCGAGATGGAGTCCGAGATGGACCCGAAATGGAGTTCGAGATGGACCCAAGATGGAGTCCAAGATGGAGTCTGAGATGGAATCGGGACCAAGACCGAGACCAAGACCGAGACCGAGTCCAAGTCCGAGGCCAGGACTGAGACCAAGTCCAAGTCCGAGTCCGAGTTTGAATACTAATACAAGTAGTTGGGTGAAAGCCCAAAGTGATCGTCCCCCGGGGGGGGGGGGTTCCAAAAGTATAGTAGGGAGAGTGTGGGGGTTAGAGCCCAGTGGAGCCAGTTTGGCCAAGAAAGGCCAGTTTGGCCCAAGAAGGCCATACTTAGTGTTGGGTGATGAGTTGACCACTGGGAAGTCTAAGACTAGAGTGAATACAGACTGACAAACCAGGTAGTTTGGTGAAGTGTTCAAGAGTCGGCTCTAGTTCCCCTGGGAGATCGAATGGTCAATGCTCCTAGTCCAAGTGTGGGTGGCACCACCTACTTGGATACCTGGTGTGGCTCAATGGAACCTCTCTCTAAGCCCATGGCTAGAGCACCCAAAGGTGAAAGGCAAGGAGAGTACCCATGAGGCTCGCATAGAGCCACGATGTTCTGAAATGTTGTCCCAAAGACCCAGACTATGGAAAGGAAGAGAAGCAATCCTTTGGGGTAGTGACCAAGGATACAGTCTTGTGGCAAGGAAGTCCCAAAGGACAGTGGGGCTTAGTGGTTAAACCTGTGGGCCTTGATCTAGTGGCAGTGTTGGTGAACAGGGCCATAGACAGAAAGGGACTTGGTGGGGACTGGAAAAGGGATATTGGGGAAGGCTATTCCCCATGTTTGTGGGCATCCTAAGGATGCTAAGGAGTGGATCTGAGACGATCACTCATGAACGGATGGCTTAGTCTTTGAGAGATGGGACTGTGATGGAGGTGGTGTCAGACCACCGGTGTGACCAAAGTGAATGAGCATGGCCTTAGCGTAACGGGCTGATATGTTGGTGGTACCTTGGGGTGTTGATCATGGGATCGGACACGTGGAGCACTTGGACCAAGTGCAATGGTTGAGTGGCATGGATGTCATTTTTGGGGCTAGCAAGTCCCTAATTCCAGAATAAGACTTATGGAGGTTGTGAATGAGACTCTTCCAAGTGGTCGGAGGTGTGGTTAAGTGACTAAAGTAGGATGGAAAATTTAGCCGCTTACGAATGGGTGATATAAATGCATTCCATGCTTTTATATAAGGTTTACAGACCTAGGCTTGGGGCAAGTTGATGCATTAAAACCTAACCAACTACAAGGAAGTATTAGATGTAGCTATTAAGATGCATTTCAATAATAACTTGTAAAAAGGGAACATAATGGGATTGAAATTCATGTTTAGCAAAAGAGCCAAATCAAGGGGGATATATGGCAAAAGAAAATTTAGAAAGAATTTCTTTAAGAATGAATCCTCGAGGTTTTGGAAAGGTAAATCCAATGGCCAAAGAGTAATAACATAGGGGAGTCAAGCAAAATAGGACAAACCCACTAATAAAAAAACAAAGTCTACTAACAATTTAGGAAACAATATATGCTACAATTGCAATAAAGCGGGACATTTCTCAAGAGAATATCCTTACCTGAAAAAAGCCAAAGTCAATATAGTTATTAAGTCAGGTGAAATCTAAATTGAAGTGTATAATCTAGTCCCTAACTTAAAAATACTCATTATATGAGCAACTTTGGTAGAGAGTCATTCATGACTGCTCAACAAGTATATAAAGAAGAATAAGTACCCTTTACCAAGGATTGAGGATTTATTTAATAGGTTGGGAAAGGCAAAATACTTTTCAAGAATTAATTTAAGGCAAAAAAACTAGCAAAGGAAGATATTAAGAAGACAACATGTCGAATGAGATATAGAAGCTTTGAGTTTTTGGTGATACCCTTTGGGTTGCAATGCACTGGTAATGTTCTCAACATTGATAGACTATATTTTTGTATTTTATTTAGATCATTTCATAGTAAAACGCTAGAGGAGCATGTTGTACATTTGACAAAGGTGTTTAAGAAACTAAGAGAATACACATTGTATGCCAAAATAAGCAAATATAACTTTGTTCAATAAAAGGTAAAGTTTCTCAAATATGTGGTGGGCAAAAAAGAGTTCAAACTCTTAAAAAGTCCAAGCAATCTAAAAATAAGAATAACCATCAAATATACATAAGTTAAAAGCATTTTTGGAGCTATGCAACTACTATCGAAAGTTTATCAAACACTATTACCAAACTTCAATAAGGATTTTGAGGTAAAAATGGATATTTCAAACTTTGTGTTAGATGCAGATTTGAAGTAAGATAACCACCTTGTGGCATTCTTTTTGAAAAAGTTGTACAAGGCTTAGCAAAAGCTTTGTACAACTATTCAAGTCAGAGGCAATAAGCCACCTTACCAATTAAACTTGATTAAAAAGTTATACAAGGCTCAAATTGGTAAGGTGGCTTATTGCCTCTGACTTCTCTGGGAGATATAAAAGATGTATCTTGTATTCCACATAAACTTACTCAAGTTATACTTTGAAGACCTACTTCGCAAAAACCAAGTAAGACTTTTACCCGATGTTATTTAAGAGAAGAGAGAATACAAAATCGATGTATATGCAAGAATAAGTGACAAAGATGTAAAGTGAAAGAGTTCTATATAAAATGGAAAAGAGTTCCACTTTGCAAAGTAATATAGAAACCAAAGGAGAATTTGATGAATGTGTGAGATTTAATGAAGGAATCTTTGTAAGGTAAAACTTTATGTACTTAGACAGTTCAGTTAAAGTATTAAGCAACACCAAGATATAAATATTTTATGTTTAATAAAATAAATATTTATCTTTTAGTAATGTAAAGTCTTTTAAATATGTTTTTCATTACACCATTAAAATATTTTTTCTTATAAAACTATGTTTTATTAAATTTTCATAAAATAGTTTTCTTTATAAATCTGAAAATAAAAAAGGTTGGATTTTAAAATAATGTATAATAATTTATATTATCTTAAAATGAAGAGTTTTAATTTGATTTTTATTGAAGTAGTGATTGTGCACTATATAAGAAATTATATTACTAATAATTGTTATAACTTATAATAAAATAAAAGGCTATACATAAAGTTTAATTTCACAACTCAAACATTTTTATTTATATTGTATTACTTTTATATTATCTTTTAATTTTTTATTTATAATTTTTACTTAATGTTTAAAGTAAATATTCTAAGAATTTGATATTTTTATAATATTTATGAAATTAACATCTGATTAATAATATAGTATATTACAATTTATATGCTCTCTTTAAAATAAAAATTTAAAACTCATTTACATAGTTACAAGGATTATCAAAGTCTTACAAATCTATTTTCTAAGAGTTGAATTGGTGCTAGAAAAACTAACTTCATAATTTTTTTAAAAATGATGGACTATTAGAAAAAGGCTAATCATCTAAAAAACTCTAAGACCATTTAATTATAAATTAATTATGATATTTTAAAGAGTGTTATATGAAATTAATATTTTATTATATAAATGCCTAAAATTTAACAAAATTAGACTCACTAATCAGTCATAATAATGTATATTTTGATATTTTAGGATATTCTACTATCTAATGGTTGTTATTCATTTAGATTAATCTTGTATTTATAATTTATAAACTTGCTTAAACACTTTCTAGTATATTTTTTTTATTCTACCATCTAATGGTTGATATGCAATAAGATTAATCTTGTGTTTATAAATTATAAACATGTTTTTAATTATAAATTTTTATTTGATCAATTGGATTAATAAGTAGGAATAACACTATTATTAAAAAAACCAAGCGTTGCTAGATGCAACACATAACAAATTATTTATTTAAATGAAGCTAGCTTGAAAGCAAATATTGTAGATTTTCTACAAGATATTTGATGAGATTATAATTCTTATATTTTTTGTTTTATTTATTAGTAATTCTTTATTGAACCATCATTTTAAATACCTTAAAAAGCTAAAGTAAGTTTATTAGTTAACACATGGTAGACTTTCTGCGAGTGTTTAGCTTGGACCTTCACTGAGCTGACTGATCTGACGACCCCCAGCTCCAAATGAAGGTAAAAGCTAAGCACCGTCTCCCGGAACGAGAGAACGAACGTACAACAGAGAAAAAAGTAGGGAGAAAAAATAATCTCGGTGCTTAGCTTCCTAGCCATTGCACTGCAGCAACAGCAGCTCTTTTGGGGACGAGATTGCCAAGACTGCTAAGTTCATCGTGCTTGCCAAGCTCGCCTGCCTGCACTGGAGTTGTAAGAAGAAAAGCTCTACATGGCATTACAAGTGAAGTCGATTTTACCTCGAGCTGTCCTACTAGTCTGACATTAGTGTTGCATCTGCCTTGCAAGGAATGAATCAAACCTAAACTATATAGAATGCAGCCATCATTACCTCGTGTTGCTCCAGTCGTCGCGTCCGCTGGAGCTGGAATTTGGAGACTGCGCCTCCTCTGCCATCTCCTCCATGTTTTTCTCTGCAAGAGAGAGGGCGGGGCGGACTTCCATGAGCATAAATAAATCCCGAGCACCAAAAGGAGAGAAAATAATGCACAATTCCTTGCAGCTCACCTGTCAACGTAGCCTTGTCCGTTGTCTTCACCGTCCTATACATCTGCCATTCAAAATTTCAACCAAAGAAGATCTCTCAGCCACAATTCAAGAGGAAGAATAACAAGAAGAAGAAAACAAAACACCACAGGAAAAAAACTCCACTGTCCTGCCATCCTTCCGAGACTATGAATTTGCAAAGTACCTGGAGATGGCTTTTTACGTGAGCCAGCGTGAGCTCCTTGACGTTCATCAATTCCAGGACCGTCTTGGGCGTAGCTCCTGCGCAAAGGAAAGAACCATAAGTAACGAAACGAAGGAAGAATGAATGACGTGACCAGCGAGAGCGAGAGAGGACCAGCTATGGAGGTAATACATGCGAGGTACCGCTGCTACTATATACACTCGAGAAGCAAGGAAGGAATTCGTCCATGACACACACAGTGTAGAGAGGAAAGGAACGCGAGAGGAGGGGTGGGCGGTACAAAGCATGAGAGGGGCGTGGAGAGGAGACGTACTTTCGTGGCCTCCAAGCCTTTCAACCGCCTTCACGAAGTGGGCATGGAGATTGCTGGTCCAACGCATCCTCTGTGCACGTGCACTGCGCTTCACGGGCAATTTGGAGATGATCCGCGAGCGCTGCTGCGATGGAGCACTGACGACGATCGACTCCCGCAGCGAATTCTCACTCCCGCCCATCTTCTCGATCTTCTTCTGCTGCTCCTGGCAATGACCACTGTGGGAATTCGAATTCCCCACCGCCGGAGCTGGATCGTGATGCTCCTGGGTGATCTCCGTGACTGGAGCAAACCGGAGGCCATACGCCGGCGCGCGGGAGAGGAAGTCGATGCCTTGGCGGGGATAGTGATCGCCATCCGGGCTGGATGATCTCATTCCAATCCGGAAGAGGCCATCGATGGAGGAATTGCGGTCGCTCCTGGCCGCATGCATTGAGGCATGGTGGTGGTGGTGGTCGATCTCACCGCTGTGCGCGCGATAGAGGAAGCTCCTCCCCAGGCTCAATTCCGTGGACGCCTCCACGGCCTCGAGGTGGTGGTGCTCGCCTCGCGGGGAATAGTTGCTGCTGGAGCAGTCGCTGCTGCTGCTGCTGCCCCCGGATTTCTTCCAGATCTCAAACGCCGACGTGCCGTCGTGGTGCGATCCTCCTCCCCGGATCGCTGGAGGCGTGCTGATGCGCAGCGACAGATCGGGCTCGGCCGGGGCGAGGAGCCTGATGGGCATTTCCATTTGTGCAGCGGGCAATCAGCGAGAGATCTGGAATGGATCGCTTGCCGAGGAGGAGAAGACGATCGCTGGTGGCAGTGTCCTTGGCGTCGAGGAGGGAGCCAATACATATAGAGATGTGACTGCCAGAAAAGAGAAAAGGAGAGGAATGCTCGCTGGAGAGATGAGAGATGCCGCCTATTGCGTGTAGAAGCGATGTTTATCCTCACAAAAATGTGTAGATGCCGCTGCTGGCGGCATCGCGAAGGAAAAACCCCATTTCTTCTTTTTCAGAGCTCCAAGGCAAGAAAAGAAGCTCCCTCTCCAGAGAGAAAGAAGAAAGGAGGGAGCAAAAGCCCTGGCGCGATCTCTCGACACAAGCAAGGAATCTGCCGATCAAGTCCAAGGAATCTGGGAGCAAATGCGTAGAAAAGCAACCTGGGGAGCGAGAGAGAGCGAGAGATAAGAGAATGGAAATCGTTCCAAAGCGAGAATATCGATCGATCAATCCATCGATCGCAGCGCCTCCAAATCTTTATCCCTTCCCGGGCCGAGTCTTGGCGATCCCCAGCTGGTCGATCGATCCGGCGTCGTCAAATCTTGCCCCGCATTTTCTTGGAGAGCAAAGCGCGACCAAAGAAAATTCTTTTTTAACCTAAAACGCCATGCCGCAAGCGGCGCGCGAATATTCCGTCGCCCCTGTGCGTGGTGGCAGTGTACTTGGATCATTTCTTGTGGCAGCGGCTACGTCGATGATAAGACGATCTCCGTATGGATCATGAAACCAGCGCCGCAAATCAACGGTGGTTACGACAAGCGCCACCCTGGGAATCGACGGCGGTGTCGAGCGCAACCAGCGAGAAGAACAAATTTAATCGAGTCGAGAGGAGAATCCCCTCTCGAGACTGGAGAACAAGGAATTTCCGGTCGATTGGATCAATCGATCGATTGATACAAAGAGCGATGATCGATATCGATCCAACAAGGACACGCGTGTCTCGTTGCTAGGCAATAGCTAGTCATGGAAAAAACTATGCAAGGAAGACGAAAATTCCGTCACTGGAAACATTCCTCGCGCAACAACAGGTCCGCGACTGCGATGTGTTTGAAAGTTTTTTTTTTAAAAACTACCGGATGATGACGTGGACGTGGTTTTTTGCCACATTGACGTGGCGCGGATATGCTTTTCAGTGGGGAGGGAATCTTCTTCCTTGGGTGAAATCAATCATTGTATGGGAGGGAAAGGAAAAATTCCATGAAGATTCCACCAGTGCCTTGCTTCATGTCAAAGCATATATGCGCCATTAGGGGGTAATTTACTCGAAAGAAACCACGCGACTCAACGTACAAACAATAGCCTAAAAATCAAACAGTGACAAGGTGGGACTTTGTTGTGTGTCCCCAGAAAAAAAATTTGAGGTTTTTGGGAGGGTTTGATTTGGCACTTGGGGTGGTGGGCTTGTGAATAAGCCCACATCTTTGGCATTTTCAAAGCGGCTTTGGCAAATATTCCACAGCACCCAGAGACAAGCGACTTTAGAACGCAAAGAGCAAAGTTTCAGGCCTTTCTCTTTCTTTCTCTTTCTCTTTTTTGTTTTCTTTCTTTTTTTTTTTTTTTTCGTGTGTTGCTTCGTCCTCTCTTCGCAGGAAGCCATTTGCGGGAGACCAAGTGGCAAGTGTCCAAAGCGATTTGATTGTGTTTGTCTCGACTTGATCTAGATTTTCTCTTGCTCGGCACGACTTTGCTCGAGCTGCCAATCCAAAAATGTTGATCAAATTTGGATTTGATAAATTCCAAGTTAACTACAAATGAGACTGTTTCTAGAATCTAGATTCGTCACACTGTAGTTTCTATTTTCTGCCACCAAGAAGATCAATTCTTTTTTACAAGCAGACCTTTTATACTTCGAAAGAAAAATCCAATGTAAAAAGAAAGAAAAAATGAAAAAAATTTCAAAGTTTACTCACAGTATGGCTCTTTTTTTCTTTCCCATGCCATCCAACGCTATGGTACACATCAACGTCGATCATCGCCTCCCAACCGGTTGGAACACCCCCGAGAAGTTTGGAATCCTGTTGAGGTGCTTGAGAGACTTCTCCGCCAGCTGCCTCGACCTGTAGTTGCCATGGCGGAACGCGTCCACCAGCGAGCTGTGCACGTCGCCGCTCCCAGCGATGGTCTGAGCCGCCTCCGCGCTGCGGAGAACTCTCTCCAGGATCCACACCGATCGCTCCCTCAGCCCCTCGGTCCGGTGCTCCTGGAGGATCGCCATCACCGGCGGGATGGCCCCCGCATTGCTCAGCACCTGGACGCCTCGCTCGACGTCGCAAGGCTCCTGGATGAGCGTCGACAGCGCCTGGAGCGTCGCCTCCACGATGTCCGTGTCCCTGTGCTCCAGGCACGCCACCAGAGGATCCACGGCCCCGGCCTCGACCAAGCAAAACGTGCTTTTGGCGGAGCACCGGCCCGAGTGGACTGGACAGAGCCCCGCCGCCGGTTGCCTGCTCGGCTTCTTGAAGCAGCTGAACCACCCGCCTGCTTGAGCCGGAGGCTCCGGAACCTCCGAGAGGTGCTTCGACTTCATGGACATGTTCTCGAGAGCTATGGCCGACCAGCGCTGGACTTCGTCCAGGGACACCGTCTGGAGCAAGGACGTGAACAGCGTGCACAGGTTGTTGTCCGTGGCAATGTTGAGCATGTCGGGGTCGTCCAAGTCGTACGTGAACCTCGCCAGAATGGTGACGAGACCCGACTGGAACGGTCCCACGTACTTCCCGGCTCCGATTCTCACCACCCCGCGCTTGAGATCGTTGATCCGGCTGAGGAGAATGGAGACGACTCCTTCCTCCATGAGTGCCCGAGTAAGATTGTAGTCCGTGACTGGGAGGTTTGCTAAAAGCCCCGCAGCCGCTGCCATTTCCACGTTCACTCCGCTTTGTCCCAGTAACTTGACGAGCGTCCCCAGCTGCCGAGTTGTTATTCGTAAACCGTCCGCTAGATCCTGTCCCATGTATGGAGAGAGGCAGGACAGCAGCCTGACCGACGTAACGAGTAGCTCTTTCTGCTGCGCTTCCAGGAACTGGATGAGAGTTACCAGAGCACCGGCACTCTTGATGTGGGAGACGACGTCCGAGACACCGCGGGGCGAAGAGGCCAACCCGAGAAGAACTTGGAGAAGCTTTGCTCCTATTGCTGGACCCGTGTTGCTGATGAGAAGTAGCAAGTTGTGAACGTACTGCTCTGATGTTAACGTGTTGCCTTCGTTGTCTACTGCCACATCCTCCCAATCTGTGCATGAGTTTACTACGTTGGCCAGTACCGTGGCGGCGACCTCTTTCAACTTTGGAACCTGACTTATTCCCGACATGAAGAGGTCCCTCAGCAACGGTGGCAGTATGCCGGCTTTAATCAACAAACAACCGTTGCTGTCAAGAGTTGAAAGCGCTCGCAAAGCTTTCAACGATACCTCTCGATAGCCAGCCTTGTTGCTCTCTAGCATCTCTATCAAAACGTTGCTTCCCGACTCAGCAAGCCTCTCCTTTCCCTCGCTGTTAAGTGCTATGTCCGCGATATAACTAGCCATTTGTATTCTCAGTTCATCCGGACCTGTGAAGACATTCAACGGAAAATTAGAGAAAACTTCTCAAACCGGGAGCTTACCCTCTAAGAGACGTGTAATCAAGGGCTTAAGTCGTCCATTCTCCGCCATTTGCCGTACGTTCGCATCGCACATTTCAAGGTTGTTAAGTGTGTCGTCCGCTCTTTGGGCTGACAGCACATTTTCGGACTTGCTGCTTGTCATTCCGACGAGTATCAGTATTGCTCCACTAGAAGCTCCAATTTTCTCGCATAGCGTGTATGACTTTGAGAGTTCCAGCAGCAATGACACGGCTTCTTCTCGTTCACGTGATAACTCGCGAGACAAGCATTTGACAGCACTCCAGACAGCAGTTGTTTGCCCAATCGCTTCCTGTCGCCACTCCAAAATATTAGTATATTCTCACTTGTATAGAAGAGCTTTACCTTGATATCGTCATCATCCTCGGCAAGAACTCTTAAAGTCTGGAGTGCCTTGCATCGAACTTCCTCCCCATTCTTGAGACGATCCACGAGAATCGGTATCAGCCCTTCATTTCTAACTTTCGCCTTGATGTGCCGATTGCGACGACAAAGCTCCTGTATGTCCTCCATAGCCTCAATCATATCCGCTTCTGGACTTCCTGCGTCCAGCATTGGAACAGCATTTTCGATACGAGTTGACTCATTCCTGGCATGCCATTCCTCAATCGCGTTTCTTATCGCGATGCTGGCCTTCAAGTCCAGACTTTGCAGCTTCTTTGATGTCTGAGGGCAGATGGCAGGCTTCTTGTTGTCTTGGCAGTTCGCGAAAAAGGCCTCGATGGCCTTCCGCTCGTATGTTTTCCCCGTCTCGACAATCGTCACTGGATCCGACATCACTCTCCCAGTCAACGGGCAGAGAAACGCCTCGTAAGGATCCTCGTAGCGTCGCCGCTGCCGAGACTCGTGGTAGTTACCGCTGCTGCGTCCATGATGTCTCTTGACAACGTTATCAAACATGACAGCGATCAAGTTGGACATGTGAAGGTCGTCCGGCCCCTGGATGTCCTTCTTCAACAGATCAATGTGGTTCTTGAGTGCGTGCGGGTTATTCGAAAAGTCCTCCACACCAACAGTCCGCGCAATGTCCACCAGCAAGCTGTTTTGGAGGGCGAGATCACTTCGAATGCTGCTCGTCTCCCTTTCTAGAGCACGACAAATCCGGTCCTCGGACTCCTTCACCTGGAACCGTATCCGCTGCATCTCCTGCGAAAGGTTCCCGACCATCTTCTTTGTCTCGTCCGTCCCAGGCAATGACGCCACAGGAACAAGCTCCAGGCTTTTCCCCATGTCGTGAGTGACACTTTCTAGCTGCCTTACCACGCTTCTACAGTGCGTGAGCAAGTACATCTGGCTCTTGTTGTTACACAGGCTGATGAGATCAGTGGCGGACTCCAGATCCTTTTCAAGCACCTGGACCAAGTCGTCATGCTTGCTCCCTTGCTGTAGCTCGAGGGCAATTGGAACCAGCTTTTCCAAGTACCCAGCCAGTTGCGAGAAGCTGTCGTGCTCGAACTTCACCTGGCGAGCAGACTGAGCTACGGTCGTCAGCTTCTCAGAAAAATGCCGCCCTGACATTGCTTCCGTCCAAAGGCAAATCCAAATCCCTGCTCGGTCCGGCCCCGAATGCGACTAAATTTCTAAGCGAAGCATTGCTGCCTCGATTCTCCTGGAAAATCCTTGCTACGCTGGGCTAGCAACAACGAATCGAGCTTCTGCTGCCGAGACACCGAGACATACCGCTCAATCCCTGGACATACCCCGCGGCATTCGCATTGGAGCGCAATGCGAGATCGTGCCTCCGACCCCTGGCGCCGCCGCCTTCGCCTTCGCATCCGTGCTGAGCGAGCTAGGGTTTTGAAATAATCTTCGTTCGCGCAAGCTAGTGTGCGCTGGATCCGCGTTGGTCCAGCTATAGAATATACTATTCCTTCTCATCCCTGCCGTTGGGCACTGGACGGCTCGATTGGTAAGGCAAATACTTAAAGATCTTCTATCCAAGCCGTTCACGTTTCGGACGGCCTGGATGGTGTTGCTCAAGATTTTGATGCTGCTTCCTGTGGTAGCCAGTGTGTTTGAATCCTAGGGCTCGTGGGAATGGCTCTGTGCCTCAAGATTGGAGCTTCTTCTTCCACTCTCCAAAGGGCCGGATTGCTACATCGATCGACGCAGGCAAGCTCGTTTGTAGCGCACTCTCACCTTAGAAATGGCCAATCCCGCTCAAGGAATGCGAGAATTGTGATGAACGCGTCTGAGAATCAAAGTAAATCTAGAATTTTTGTACCACGCCTCGTTAACTTGTCATTTCTAGCAGCTGTTGATCAAGAGGAGCTGAGTGACAACAAGATTCTGCCGTACTGTAGCATTGACAAGAAGAAGGATAAGAAATCGGTTGGAGAGCTCGAGCAGGAATTTTTACAGGCGCTTCAGGTGGTTTTAAGTTGCGATGAATGCGCGTGTAACACTTTTGGTTGCAGTCGTTTTACTACGACAAGAAACCTATGATGACCAACGAAGAGTTCGACAATCTAAAGGAAGAGCTGCTTTGGGAAGGCAGTAACGTGGTGATTCTGAGTAAGTAAATCCATACTGGAACTTTCGCAGGCGAAAAAAATCTAGGAGTTTTTTATTTCAGGTCCTGACGAGCAGAGATTTATGGAGGCATCGTTAGCATATGCAGCGGGAAAGCGTCTCATGTCCGATGAAGAGTATGATCGACTCAAACTAAAGCTTAAGGTACTTCTCTCTAGTTTTGAGCTTTGAACTGAGAGCAATTGCTGGCAGAAATCAAATAGCAAAGTGGCAATCGAAGGTCCAAGGTGTAGTTTAAGAAGTAAAAAGGTAATGCAAAGATTCGGTCCATCGCTGCAATGTTTTATCTATTTTCTTTGACAGGTCTATAGCGATTGTACTGTAGACTATTTGAAGATGACACTCCTGAACTTACCAGCAGTCCTTATCTCCCTCCTTGTGTAAGCTTGAATTACTTTCTTCTGCTCAAACTTGTTTTTGTGTAGTGTGTTCTTTTTAGATGACTTAACGGGATTTGAGATAACATATCTTCTTGAGGTGAAGTTGATGCTGTTAATTCTCTTACTTCCTCTCATCCATCACACTCTCTTTGTATAGTTGCCAGAACCATATGGCTTTATTTTTACCTGGTCTGTGGTGCTACCGGCTACATTTTTTGCTGCAAGATTTATCACCAACCTGGTTTTCAAGGACGCTCTTATATTGAAGGTCTGTAACTTATGATTTTCATTATAGAGATAATGTTTTCCATCACAGGGTCCTTGTGCAAATTGTGGAAGTGAAACAAACTCCTACTTTGGAACAATACTAGGTGTTGCGAGTGGTGGCTCAACCAATGATGTAAAATGTGAACAGTGAGTGCTTTGAAGAGGTTGTTCGCTACTGTTAACAAGGTTCGTACAGGTGTAAGGCTCTCCTAAAATTTGATTCGGAAACACGTCTTATAACCCTTGAAAAACTTCCAGGAATCAAGGTAACAATGCAAGTTTGTCTTTTCGATGTTTTTAAATTTTCTAGTTGCATTACAGGACAACCGAAAGATGGCCATTTAATCTACCTGTTAATTTTAAATTAATCAACAATTTTAACTTTTTATGTAGCACTTGAGATGTGTCAGTGCTAAAGCCCTCTGCGTTTACCATTTAGTAATGATTTGTTTGGCCATGAATGCAAAAGCATTAGCTAGAATGCAGAAGGTGATAATTTTGGTTTTCACTTTGTCAACATCACTTGAGGTATATATGTTATTGGATTAAGGCTATATTTTTTCTCCCTTCCTTACTCTAGTTTTCTTTTCTTTGTTTTTATTTTTAGGCTTGTGGTGGGTATTCTCAAACATGTAGTAATTCTTCAGTCAATTTTGCTGGTGTTCTATGGTCATTTTGTGCTCCATCAAAGTGGTTGTACAGTAATTTGCCTTTGGATACTAAGCTAGGGAATGATAATGGCAAGCTTGTTCTTGGTAGAGATTTCTGGAAAACATGCAATCAATTCTTGGTGGATTCCAAAGGGATGCTCTTTGGAGTTTGTAAAAATAGGACAAACCAGGATACTTCTACAGTATTTCCCTTGGATAACTTTGTCACAAATGAGGATGGTTCTTTAAAATTTTGCTATATTATGTGAATTTTTTGAAGCATTTTATTTGAATAAATGAGAAGTGGATGAAAATACATTAGCTTTTAAGATGATAAGCTTACCAATCTGAAATATATCTTTGCAAATATATAGAGATTCATTTGACCATCTGGATCTGGAGTGGTTCTCTCCCTTTCATTGGTTTAATTCTCACTAAATCAGTTAGAGATACTTTTTCTATCTCAATCCCACTACCTATTCTTGAGTAGTTTCAACATTTATCAATATAACCATTCCTCTTTGGAACTTTTATTTTTTACTTCTTGAAGTTAATTTCCTAGGTGTCTCCGACATTTTTCATTGCACATATTGTGCAAACTCTACTTCCCCATTCTAGGAAGTTCTTTCCTTGAGGGCACTTTTCTATTTCATGCCATATTTGGCATTAAGTTCTAGTTATCATAAGTTGTGCTAAGGTTATTTATGGCTCTATCATTTGGCTACTTTGCCATTCCCTCCTTTGGAGCTTTCACTTTTGCCAAATTGGAACATTTGGGAATCCATCCTTGGAAATACACTTTCTTTCTTGCAATCCATTAGCATCTAACACATTAGTGTTCCTCACTTAATTTTGCTATTTAGGTTCCTTCTAATGAATTTCATGGCTCATATTTGGCCATTAGTCTTTTTCTCTTATTTGTTAATTATTGCACCAAACAACATAGGATCACTACCTCCATTCTCGAGGTATAATTTTGGTTCCATGGCAAAGGCTCTATTTTGCCAAGTCCAGATGGTGCTCACCCCTAATAGGTCTCCTTAACATCAAGCTCCATTGACAACCCAACTTTGCGACCCTCTTATGGGTCTTTCTTAGATGCTACTTTCTTGGACTTATTATACCATCGTATTGGCACAATTGATTTCCCTTTAAGTGTCCTTCCCATTTGGTCACCTTGACCAAACCACACTATTATCAATAGTTCAAATCAACACTTTGAACTATGAACATTATTCTTTAACTTCATAAAGACTTTATCCTTGTTTAGCCATAAGATCACCTAGTGATCTTCCCTTAATAAGTTTGCCAATAAGTACCAAATTTTCCAGACTTTTAACTTGTTAACCATGACCCCGGGAGCATCCTCCATATTTAGTGGTGCACCCAAGCTAGCCCTTCCAACCAAGGGTCCATAGCAATTGAGAATGGGTGTCCCCATGTAGCACACGTGGTTTTGACCCTTTATCCTATGGTGATTTACCATAGGATAACACCACGAAGCAGAACCTAAACCCTCTTTGTGCCACGTGACAGATGCCACATGTCACATGCCACGTGTCCATGCCACGTGTCCATAAGAACCCGAGGTTCAGGGCCTTGGGCCACTAAACGAAGGAACAGTGCCAAACTCCCAAGCATAGAGCCGAGGAGTGACAGAAGCGAACCACGGAGCAACTCCCAAGCATAAAGCCCAAGGAGCGTAGGGACAGGAGCCCGGAGTGACTTGGAACAGTCCTGGAGCAACCAACATCCCAATGCCAGGACCAGCACACAAAACGGAGCCAAATGGAGCCTGGCGCTATTTCGGCATATCGGTGGTCTAACGTGAGGATATGGGTACTCCACCAACTAGCATGGAATGGAACTTGGGCTTAGACCCAAGCCGGACGCAGAACAAGGACAGGCACGCAAGCAGGAGCTAGACTATGCCTCAGGTTGGTCAGCCATGCCCGACCTACCCACTATCCCTACTATACATTTGGAACCCCCCACAGCCCCCCCCCCCTTGAGGAACACACGCTTTGGGCTTTCACCCCAAGCCTCCCTTAGTATCAAGAGTTATCATGTAGCGATATTGAGGGACCAATCTCAATACGCGAGGGTTCTTGTCAAGCCAGTGCAAGATAGAGCAAAAGAGAACTAACAAGCCGGGCCAAGTATGCTCAGCTAAATAGACACTTACGAATTCCTTCCTTATGCTCATCCGGCCAAGTACAGATGCAAAGTCCAATTTACTAACACTTGAACAAGAGGGACTGATAAAGGGAACTAGTAGTACCGACCTCCTGCCATCGTGGCAGTAAGGTAAGAGTGTCCGTAAGGACTGGTCGACAGGTAACTTTCGATACCCAAAGTTACATTCGCGACACCCCATCTCATTCACCACATCCTTGGTGCCACTTGCACCAAAGTGTTCAAGTTAAATATGTCAAGCCATATTAAACAATCTAACCGTGCATCACGACTCTGGGGCATCCCCCGCTTGATAGTGTGCCGAAGTCAGTCTCCTCCTTGAGAGTCTATGACTATCTAAAAATGAGTGTCCTTATATTCCAAACCATCACCACGCCATAGTGAGTTGGGACTTGAACCCACGCACTAAAGGGTTGGGACTCGAACCCAGCCTCCGTATATGCATCTACAAACGGCATTACCCATGATGCCTAGCGTGACTCCCTACACCGATGCACTAACTTATACTTAAAAGCACACTACGAATCACAGTTTAGGAACCTAGTTCCTCCATATTGCCAAGTCTTCTCACTTAACAAGTTTATGATCATGTATAAACTCCTTCATGCTTGGCCTTATAAGCCACCCCTTTTGAAGTCAACACCTTCAATTAGGGCATTTGTTCCCCCTGACTCGCCAATCTCACTTAGCAAGTCAGTCGACCACTGTAAAATGATTTATGCATAAGCGTGAAAATCCTTAACCATCGACTTTCGTTCAAAGCTATCCCTTTAAACACTCGGGAACTAGTTCCCCAACCTTGATAGTTTTACCTTATAGCAAGCTTCAAAACCACACTTCTGCTATGCCACTATGATTTTGCGCGTTTTATGAAGCATTTACATTTACCTTTCTAAGTACTAAGCTACCTAGAATTGTCTTTGGGAACCTTGAAGGAACTCTATCCCTTAACTTGCCAAGTTCTTTCCTTTCGCAAGCTTTCTAATTGCTATATGGTCTAACATGGATAGTTCCATATTTTAGACTTTCCATGGTATTATGATTGCTAATAACAACACGTAAAAGCACCCACTTGATTCTCCACTCCCAACTTGCATAACCACCCTTGGTTACGCCCCTTTAATTCCTACGGTTTAGTTCTATCCCTTCACTACTTGTTTTTTGGCCTCATACGTTTCTTTCCTCTAGCCTAGAAGGATAGCTTTGCACTTTCTACCATACTCTAGCAAGTATTCTTAGGGATGAATTTGTAAATGATGCTAGACTTCTCATAAGTGATCTCCACTTCCAAGAGCATCAATCCCTCCTTCCAAAGCTTGATTGCCATCCCAAAGGGAGTAATTCCTCCATCTGGGTATGCTCACCTTATAATCCCACACACCGGGATTAACGTTGCTACTTATGGGCTTTTTATATACCCATCACTAGCCTTGCCAAAATCTTTTTTTTGGCTTTGTCTAATTCGAATAAATGAACTTCTTTCATATCCACAACTTTGGACGTTTGGATAACACCTTCTATCCATCATTTGTTAGAGACTTAATCCCTTAGGCATTAATGCCCTTATAACATTAAACACCACTTCCTGGTGTTTTAGAGTGTTTAAATGTCCCAATGATGGCCTTCTTTGGCAATAAACATTCCTTTTACAATATTGACTTACTATATCACAACATAAGCAATTTATCCCCCTATAAAGGTTTGTCTAGCTTTTTTATCTTAATAAAAAGTCTTGGGTAGTTACTTTCTACCATTTTAATAAATTATTTTGCACATTTTGCTTAGTTGCCTCATAGTTGTCAAATCTTACAACTCATTGTTGGTGCTTCCATACTTTCATCATTATTTGGGTCACCACACTTTAACCGCATGCTTTCCAACTTAAGTTATGCCATTCCTATTTCTATTAGGATTCCTTTGGGAAAGGGTTCTCATGAACCCGTCAAATTAACCTCAAGGCATTATGCCTTGGCACATTCGGTGTCTCTACACTATCGGCTCCACGAGCTTACCTTTATAACACTTCTTATTTGTGTTTAAGTCTTTGCCAAGACCAATACAATTGTTTCTCATGCCAACTATCCGTTAGCACTACACTATATAGTTTATACACAACTTTGTGTCAAAATTGTTTTCTTTTGGGAACCTATTTCCCACAACTTTAATATGGCACATTCTACCATCAATGAGATACCCATTGTTCTTATAATTGGATCTTATGATCCTCCCCTTCCTCCATGGGGCACCACACACGTCGGTCCAAATGCTTCTATTAATCCCTTATGACCATTTCTTGACTCTACTTGAGTTATCCAACTTTTTGAACTTTGCTAATCCGATGACCTATAGGGTCCTACTTTTAAGGTGTTAGCTCACTGAAATACATTTCTTGTTTTCACGTCCTACTCATAAGGACCATCTTTGCAAGTGTTACTCTAACACTTGATTATTTTCCATTCTTTATAGGCAACCTTTGCCCCTTAGGATTATTTGTTCATATGATGGGAATACCAACTCATCCTCTAAATACACCTCTAACTCCTTAGGTTGTTCCAGCATATATTGAAGGTA